TTGGACATGTCCAGAGGAGGGACCGTGGGTATATTGGTAGAAGGATGTTAGGAATGCAGCTGCCAGGAAAAAACAAAGATGAGATATATGGATGCAGTTAGAGAGGACATGAAGGTGGTTGGAGTGAGGACAGAGGATGCAGAGGACAGAGTGAGGTGGAGGAGGAGGACTCGCTGTGGCGACCCCTGAAGAGGGAAAAGCCGAAAGAAGAAGAAGAAAGAAGAATACAATTTATGTTTATATTTGACCATTTAATGAATTATATCTATCAAAGTTACCTCTTAGTACAGTTCTAAATATAAGCCAGCTTAGCACATCCAAGCAGCCACAACCTCTTATTTTTGCTGTAATATTGTGTAGAATTTAATTTAACAGATATTTATGATAAACTACTTGAAACTGACTCTCAAAGAGAACTTTGTAAGTTTGGGGAAAAACATTAATTCAATTCAATTTATTTATATAGCACTATATCATAACAAAGTTGTCTTAGGGCACTTTACAGGAACATTCACATACATTGAAAAGCCAATTACCGGTAGTAAAGTTTTCTATCTAAGGAAGCCAGCAGACTTGAGTTAAGTGGAAACACTTGCTATAATCTGGGGCGTATAAATATGACTTTTAGTATTGATATGTTTTAATTAAAGGAACTAAAGTGGTCGGTCTCACCGCGAGAGAAACTCAAACAGGCTGTCTCTCTCGAGAACCAGGAGTTTGGTCACGCTGGCAAAGGGCACATGTCTGTACGATGATGACGATGCTCCGAACCCGTTAACGTTTAATAGGAAGAGATCCTGACCGCCTGTGGGCGCTTTGAGACAGAGAGGGGCTCCCAGCAGAGCCGCTGCTCGCACCCGGGCCCACCGTTCATCAGAAAGCACGACCCACCCTGCTCTGATTGGACGAAACGATGATTCTGATTCTCTAACTGTTGTAGTTTAACTGTATCGTAATTAGATTAGATGGCTTTAACACAAACACACAAAATAAAAAGTGTCATGGTAACGGAGAACTTTAAACCCAGTCTCTGCTGTTATTGCGTTCAATAAGATTAATTAGCTGCGGGGACCATCTTCAATTGAGCGGACTCCAAAAGTTAATCGTTGTTATGGATGCAAGGCTGTTTTCAAGACAACAAAAGACAACGGGGTGAGGATAAAAGTAAGACAGGTTGAGACACTTGGGGGGGGGGGGGGGGGGGTATAGAGGTATAGAGCTTTATACCCCACCCCCCCACAACTTCTCGCTTGTGTTGCTGACACATGAATTAATGAGGTTCAGGTAGGCGGCAGCACACAAGGGAGACGGTGTTCTTTAGTGGCATTTCTGAACCATAAATAATCTGCATTGTGATCTGAAAGCATATAACTAAGAAAAAAAGAAGTTGGAATGTTGTGTAAAATGTAAACAAAAACAAAATGCAATCATGCAAATCTCATAAAGCCATAGTTTATTCACAGTGGAACATTAATACGGCAAGTCCTGATGCATGCTCGATAATCCAGGTAGATCTAGGTGGATAAATATGGCAAGGATATCAAATGTTTAAACTGAGAAAGTGTACTTAAAAAAATTAAATGAAGCAATTTTGAGGGCAGCACGGTGGCGCAACTGGTAGAGCTGCTGCCTCTCAGCGAGCAGGTCCCTGATTCAAATCCTGGTCCGGGGGGCCTTTCTGGGTGGAGTTTGCATGTTCTCTCCGTGCATGCGTGGGTTTTCTCCGGGTGCTCCGGTTTCCTCCCACAGACTAAAAACATGCACGTTAGGCTGATTGGTAACTCTAAATTGTCCCTAGGTGTGAGTGAGAGAGTGAATGGTTGTTTGACTCTATGTGGCCATGTGATGGACTTGCGACCCGTCCAGGGTGTACCCCGCCCCTCGCACAGTGATTGCTGGACATGGGCACCGGTGACCTTCGTGACCCAAAATGGAAGAAGAGGGTAAAGATAATGGATGGATGGATGGATAAAGCAATTTTGAAATAAAAATCTATAAATAAAACACGGGACAAGGGCAAGAAAATGCTGGAAAAGTAAGTGGTTGAATAAGAAACTTTTATGGCACCTTTCCAGAAATGTAAGCTGATCATGCACCCCTATACCAACAGAAAGGCAGGCTTTTGAAGTGTATTTTGATAGACTGGATGGTTCCTGTTTTCTGTACAAACATCGTGGTACTCATGGTTTCCAAAAACAAATTTAAATATCCATATGTCTGATCATAGTTTTCCTCTTTCAGTTCATTCCAGATGAGCTTTGGTCGAGAGAAGACGGACAGGTTTCTGGACGGTGTTCACATGGGGCTTCTTCTTTGCATGATAGAGCTTTAACCTATGATTCTGGATACAATGAAGTGTGTTTACAGACAATGGTTTGTGGAAGTGCTCCTGAGTCCACGGAGTGAAGCCCAGAACAGAATCAGACGCATTTTTAATGCAGTGGCTCCTGATGGTCCAAAGAACCGGCATCTAATGTTGACTTTTGCCTCAAAGATTTCTACAAGTTTTGAAATCTTTTGATCGCATCATGAACTGCAGATGGTAGTATATTCAAAGACTTCCAATTTTCTGTTGAGAGCCATTATTTTGAAAATGTTCTTGCAGACTGGTGAACCTCGGCCCATTTTTACTTCCAGGAGATTCAGCTTCTAAACTAATTAAGTTTTCTCACTGACTTGTTGCCAATAAGTCTAGTTGCAAAATGCTGGTCCAGATGTTTCTGATTTGTACCACTTACAGCCATTTGTTGCCCCTGTACTAACTTTTTTAGATATATTGCTACAATTAAATTCAAAATCACTGTATTTTTTCCCCCTAAAAATCGTCAAATTTCTTAGTTTAAACATTTCATGTTTACTCTGTCCCATTGAGTTACGTAAAATTTGCCAAGTATTGCATTCTGTTATTTACATCATATGCAGCATCCCAACTTGATCAAAATGGGGTTGTATTTATTACTATTACTCACTAAATGGATGAAGAATGTCCAGAGCTCAAAGTTATATCTTTAAATCTCAGTGGTCCCAACCATGGTCCTTGAGGAACGCCATCCTGCATGTTTTAGTTGTTTCGCTGCTCCAACACACCTGATTCTGTGATTTTATTAATTCCTGAAGTTCTGCCAAAGCCTGTTAAGTACCCATCCATTCAAATCAAGTGTGTCAAAGCAGGGAAACAACTAAAACATGCAGGATGGCGTTCCTCAAGGACCATGGTTGGGAACCACCGCAGATTAAAAATCAACAAACAAGAGAAGCCAGGGAAAATGGAAAAACATTTATAAACACCTCTCTTTTTTTTTTCCTGGCTACACAAATACAACAAAAACAAATTAAAAAAAATTCTCAGCAAAAACTCCAGTTATGTGTAAACAGGAAGTGCAAACAACAATTTTTTTTTTTTTTAAATATACAGTACAGTAGTCCCTCGCTACTTCGCGGTTCGACCTCCAGACCCATTGGTGAATCTGAAAGCTGCTAGCCGGCCCACGAGGACCTCCGAGTAGGTCCGGCGCTCCTGCCAGAGCCCACAGCCCAAGCCAGAGAGCCGACCAGAACCAACAGGGTAGGTCCGCTGAAAGGGAACCAAGTTCGAACGGAACTGAGCCGCTGCTGTTCTGCAGAGCTGAGTAAAATTTAGTAGCTACATATACAGTACTGCACGTATGTTGTTAACATTAGTAGGTTTAAGAGTTTAGAACATTGCAAGAGTGTGGGAAGAGTTTATAAAGCCTTAAAATATATAGAAATACTAAAATAAATATAACGTCGCAGATTTTCATTTATTGTGTGTGTGTGTGGGGGGGGGGGGGGGGGGGGGGGGGGGGGGGCGTCTGGAACATAACCCTTGCAATAAATGAAGAACTACTGTATTTATAGTGTGAGTTTGTTGGTGTATTCTGTGAAATATTACATATTTTTCTTTCTAAGAAAAAAAGCCATGTGGAGGTAGAATTGTGTTTTTTCTGCATTTCATATGAAAAAACTTTTATTTTAATTTATTGTTGCTTCGTTTGTTTGTGCAAACATTTCTATAGGAATTGATATAATGTATATTAAATAGTAGGTTTCTTTCGGCTGCTTCGTTCTTCAGGGGTCGGCACAAAGATTGGGCAATTTGTTTTATGCCGGATGACCGTCCTGACTCGGCCCGAACTTGAACCCGCAACCTCAGGTTTACAAGGCAGCACAGTGACCACCGAGCTACCACAGCCCCATAATATATATATATTCAATAAAAGTCAATAAAACAGATTTGGAAGTGAGTGTGCAGCTTGAGTCACATCTGCAGCTTTTAGAGAACAATAGAGCGTCAGGGAAAGGTGTGTGTGTGTGTGTGTGGGGGGTGGGTGGGGGTTCAAACTGTTATTTCTGATGTTAAATCAAACCTTAAAACTAATGTTACATGTTAGTGCTTGGAGTATGTGTTGGGGATGAATTTCACCTAATTTGAGCTCAATAACTGTCAAACTAACTGCTTTAAAGCCACATTTTCTGTTGGCTAATATTAATGAGCGGCGGCAGCCACCTTTATCAGACTGACTCCGAAATGTAATCGATTGTAAAAATACATCTGATGATTACTTTCTGAAAGTTTCACTAAAACACATCCAGTGGGTCATGAGATATTTTGCTAACAGACAGACAGAGATGACTCCAACAGTTTGTGCCAACGGTTTAAGCAAACATGCTGCTCAAATGTGTAGTGCTCGAAGTATGTGTTGGGGGTAAGTCTCAGCTACTACCACAACAACATGTAGTTGAATATCTCTAAAGCTGAGCGAGTTACCAACATTTATGTGTTTACTAAGAACAGCTGGTTTTGGCGGCCATGTTTCTTTGAAATGACTCCAGATGTCAACAGCTGTAGATGTTCCTCCAGTGATGACTTGCTGAAAGTTTCAATACAACCCGGCCAGTGGTTCGTGAGATATTTTGCTAAAAGAGACAAACGGATGCGCGCGCGGAGACACGATCGCCCGCCTGTCGGCGGTGTTTACCTGCGCCCAGCGTGCTGCTGCACTGCCACTTCTCGAAGCTCGCCGGCTTCCAGCAGGACTCCCACAGGGACAGGTAGTACTGGTCGTCGGCCGTGACCCACGCGGGACTCATCACGGCTCCCACGTCCAGGCAGAGCGCGAGGAAGACGCAGACCAGTCCGACCAGTTTCAGCGGGGTCAGCGGGGAGCTGCGCGACTCCTCCGTCTCCGTGACGGCGGAGGACATGGCGGGGGGTGGGGGGCTCACAGCACGCCGGCCGGAGGAGGCTGCGTGCGGGACCGGGGGGGCGCTGTGTTCCGGTGGGTCCTCTCCACGGAGGAGGTTGAGCCGGTGCAGCCGCCTGCGGTGCGCGCTGGACGGACGCTGCGCCTGTGGGGCGCCGCGCGGCGGAGACCTCCACCGTTCGGCGCTGACGTCAACGGCTCCAAGGGATCAGCAGGTGCAACAGGGTCCTAGAGAGAAAGAGACACAAACGAATTCAAGAAACACACTTTTTTTTTTTCATTCTTAGAGTTCATCAGTGTCTACATCGAGGGTGGACACTGTGGACTACAAGTACCTGGGGGCCCACCTAGACCAGAGGTTCCCAACCGGGTCTTGGAGGAACATCATCCTGCATGTTTCAGTTGTTTCCCTGCTCCGTCACACCTGATTCAGTCATTTAATTACCTCCTCACATTCTGCAGACGTCTGTTAATCACCCATTTATTCAAATCAGGTGTAGGAAAACAACTAAAACATGCAGGATGGTGTTCCTCAAGGAGCAGTGTTAGGTACCTCTGACCTAGACAATGAACTGGACTGGTCAGCTAACATCAACGCCCTCTACAAGAAAGGGCAGAGTTGCCTATTTCTTCTGAGGAGACTCAAGTTCTTTAACATCTGCAGGACCATGCTGCAGATGTTTTACCACTCCAGCGTCTTCTTCCACGCTGTGGTGTGCTGGGTGAAGACAGGGTGGGTTCCGGTAATTATTTGCTTGGATCCGGTAACTCTCAGGCCTACTAATAATAACGTTATGAACAAATATGACAGCCTTGAACGAATAAAACTTATATTGGATATGTACACTTAAAATAATTATATAAACACTCATTTTAAACACAACAACACATGAGTTGCCTCTTCAAGCAGCATTTCCGCTTCTACCCGTAAAAAAATCTTCACCCCTAAAAGAGTGATGGGGTGAGTGCCGAGCTGACCAGGCAGTCGTACGAGAGCAGGTGCCCGCAGGTTTCACATGTGGAGTGGGATAACAACGAGTGGACAGTGTCCGGCTCGGAATTGTCAAGTAGGGGGGTGGGGTAGGATGCTTGACAGAAGAGAAGTGTTTACAAATGTAGGTAAACAAAGATGTTTAACAACCCGTTAAAATACACCAAAATGCAGGAAATCACATCTACTTCATTCAGAATTTTCTTGGGGAGGTGAGAGACGGTTTAGCTTTATCTGCTATTTCAGCTACTGCTTTGCTGTTTTACGTTAAGCTTTTTCAGCTAATTCCACATTTTTTTGCACTCATTTCAACTTTTTTTCAGCCCGATTCATCAAAAATGTGCTCTCTCCACTACCTTCTGATAATGTAAAATTCTTTCTGCCTTTTTAGCTACTTTTCAGCTGTTTTTTTTTTTTTTGTGCGTGTATGTGGCTAATTTAAGCTTCTTTCAGATAATTCCCACATTTTTGTGCTCATTTCTGCATTCTTTCAGCCTAACTGGGCAAACATTTGTTCTTTCTGCTTTCTTAAGCATGTTCTACCTGTTCAGCTACTTTTTTTTTTTTCCATTTTCAAGCTAATTTAGGCTGATTTGAGATAAATTCAAATTTTTTATGATAATTTCTGCTACTTTAAGCCTAATTAACATCTTTATGCTAATTTCAGCTTGTTATGCTCCTTTCAGCTTATTTCTGCTAGTTTCCACTTTTTCTGCTATTCAGCCACTATTTAGCTGTTTTATGCTAATTTTAGCCATTTCAGCTAATTTCACATATTTTAGCTCATATCAGCTCTTTCTGCTTCCTTTGGGTAATTTAAGCTTATTTCTGCCTTTCAGCTACTTTTCAGCTTTTTTTTTATTTTTTTTATAATTTCAGCCTTTTTTAAGCTAATTTTTCTCCTAATTTCTGTTTATTTAAACCTATTTCAGCAAATACTTTCTTCTGCTAATTTAGGCTTGTTATTCCATTTCAGCTACATTTCAGCATTTTTAGCTAATTTCAGCTGTTTCTCAGCAAGTTCTGAAATAAGCAGTTACACTGCATTTTCACAGGAAATGCAATTTCTCTAGTTTAACTTATTTTTTTTTACATAAGATAATAAATGTATGAGTGTCATTCAGAGTATGGCGTCGTGTGTAAGCCGAGGCAAACCAACCACTTAAAGTGAACATATTCGTTGTCGTTAATCTTTATTCCTACTTAGCCTCAGGGGGAAAAAAATTATTTGAGCATACGTTAAGTACTTCTTCTCCTGTGAAGGGAGCACCAAGCAGGACAACAATCAGTAGAACAGAACATAGTGGGAGGCACATGAAGAAATATGACGGTCTCCTCTGCATACTAATGACGAAGACACTGATGAGACAGAGAAACAGGAGCAGACAAGCCAAGGAAGCAGCTGTCTCAGGTTCAAGGAGACACCGCCGTCTATGTTTACATGACTGGAAAGAAAAAGAGATGGATGGGTGGGAAAAGATGGCCTTGTTTACTTCCCATCAGGACAATATTAAGGAATGATGAAGGGGGAAATGAAGGAAGTCAAGAGAGTAAGGCAAAGGGGAGCGCAAAGGAGGAGGGGAGGTGATAAAAGGTGAAAGGAATTACATGCACAAAGATTGTTTGGTGCCATTTTGTCGAAGAAAGAAAAACTCAAATGTCACTAAAACAACTTGGAACTAATAAAAAGAAGAAAAAAAAAACCCTGAAAACTAGTCAGCGTATTTAAAGGGGGAGAAGTAGTCACTATGCTGTTTGGTATGATGGCGTGTGACACGCTGAACATGGACAGAAAGATCAGGACTGAGTTGTCTCAGGAGCTTAGAAAGAAAATGACTGACGGCAGCTAAAGGTGTTGGATAAATAAATATCCTTTCTTCATCTAGTCACTCTGAGGACACGAGAGATTTTTAACAGGTCTTCTACTTGCAAGGGGCAGAGTTCACAACAGGTGAAGTTACATGCTTGGTCATGAGTATCTGCATCAGACAGAGGCAGGAAGTGTTTTATAACTCGTATCAGACAGAGGCGAGGTCAAGACGACCTCAGCTTCACACTTTACAGACTTGAAAACGTCCTTGGAGTTACCAGGTGCGCCCGCAGGCCCCTCTCTGAGAGGAAAAACAACTTTCTGAACTCACACACATTAATTTAACATTAGTTAGTGACAAACATTCATAAACATTTACTAAAATTCCTTTGACAATAAGACCATCTCCAAGCAGCTTGATGTTCCTCTGGCTACAGCTGAACAGATTATTCAAAAGTTTACGATAACAGGTCCTTTCAATGGCCAAACATTCTACACGTTTATGAAAATGTGGTGAGATAATTCTGTTAAACTAATTTCTTAATTAAAAAAAATACTGATAAAGTCATAATAATGGGTGATTTCAATGTTCATGTAGATGTTGAAGTGATGCCCAACATTTTCAGTCAGGACAGTTTCTTTTTTTGTGCTGAAACGTTTCGCCTTCGATCCAGAAGGCTTCATCAGTCAAGGAAACACAACAAAACTGATTCTTCCCCCAACAGCTTACTCTAAAAGTGGAACAAACCAGTTCTGCTTGTGATAAGATGGTCTCTTTGGCACGCCCCCTCCTCCATTGCCAGCCCTCTTCCTTATTGACAGTCGTGTCAAACTGCTTGAAAACAACAAAGTCCACACTCAATAATCCAGGTATATAATCCCAACATTTTTCAGTCAGGTCATCTGGACAGTTTCTTTTTTGATGAAGTCTTCCAGATTTAAGGCAAAAAGTTTCAGCACAAAAATAAAAATAAACTGTCCAGATGACCCGACTGAAAAATGTTGGATTGTATACCTGGATTATTGAGTGTGGACTTTGTTGTTGAAAGTGATAGTTCAAGCATAGCCTTTAAAAAATGAACAGAATCAATTGGTTGTACCCAAGGCGTCCACACATTCTCATCATCACACTCGGTCTGGTTCTGACTTATGGAATAGAGATTAAGGACTTATTGACACGTCCTCAAAATCCAGCAGTTTTTATTGTTTTGTTGACTTTGGTTTTGTATTCAAAAGATGAGGGAGAGAAAAAATAAATAACTAAAAATAAAGGAACAAACCCTAAAATGAATTTTTGGACCTTACACCCTCCTCACATTCTTCTGTTCCTTTTACAGACTCAGTATTTCTTGCATATCATATTTCTTTTTAATTAAAAACAAGTAATAAATACTGTATATTTTAGTCCTCACTCCAAACACAAGGTCAAACTCAATACTTGTATGTCACATTAAACAAGGCATTCACCACATTCATTAAATAAAATCGTAATGTCCAAAATATATTTGTTTTTAATATAATTAATGCCGGCAGCACGGTGGCGCAGCTGGTAGAGCTGCTGCCTCTCAGCGAGCAGGTCCTTGGTTCAAACCCCGGTCCAGGGGCCATTCTGGATGGAGTTTGCATGTTCTCTCCGTGCATGCGTGGGTTTTCTCTGGGTGCTCCGGTTTCCTCCCACAGACCAAAAACATGCATGTTAGGCTGATTGGTAACTCTAAATTGTCCCTAGGTGTGAGTGAGAGAGTGATTGGTTGTTTGTCTCGTTTGTCTCTATGTGGCCCTGTGATGGACTTGCGACCCGTCCAGGGTGTCCCCCGCCCCTCGCACAGTGATTGCTGGACATGGGCCCCAGTGACCCCCGTGACCCAAAATGGAATAAACGGGTAAAGATAATGGATGGATGGATAATTAATGCCTTAGTTTAAATAAAATACTGCCATGAAAACAGGATTTTATATTAATTTTTAACTACCATATTTTTCAGACTATAAGGCGCACTTAAAATTCTTTAATTTTCTCAAAAGTCGACAATGAGCCTTATGCGACAGCCTTAATGACAGTGCAAAAAATACGGTACATGAGGAAATTTGGACTATCAACTCAAATCATCATCACCTTCCCAAAAAGTGTAAGTTTATGTTGTTTTATTAATACTATTATTATTTTCCATTTCCAACTTTTAACAAGTATCCTATTAACT